TCCGGTTATATTTCTTTTGATATTATTCCGTCAAGAAGGTTGACCGCAATCCTCTATGCCACTTTGGATTACTTCCTGTCTCTTTCACGACTCCCCCCTCCTCCAGCGAAACAGACAGAGCCGGCAGTTTCCACTTCTTTTTGTTCCCACTCAACTTCATCAGCGAAATTCTCGCCGAGGTAATATATAATCTAAGTGGAGAGTGCCTTGGGAATTGAAAAAAAGTTAAAAACAACAACGACGATGACAACAGCAGAGGAATAAAAGACAGAGATGGAATGTTCATTTCCAAACGGGTACGTGTTGAAGAGATATTCTGTTTCCGTTTCTTCAAACACATCATTCAACGCACAAATATTCCTTTCCCTTCCTCGCCTCTAGATGAAATTGTTGTACACTTCCCGGAAGTTATGTTAGACCGAATATACATCAATATGAAGGATAAAATGCTTAAATTATAAAAAGAAAGTACTGAATATCTCTAAAATCGTAAAACAATTGATATGGCACAGGGCAACGAACACTGTGAGGAATGTTTGTTAGTAGCACCGTAAATTTCTATTGTGAAGATCAGAGAAGATCTGAAATTATTCAGTATAAGATTATAAAGTGAAAAGTCTGTCACCCACACTTCTCACAACATGCCCATAAATTCACATAGAATATTTATATTACAGTTCCGTCAACAATACAACCACTTTATTCCCTAGAATTTTCACTTTTTAGAACACGTAGCGGCCCCAACAGGCCATCATCAGGTACTTCAATTCGCCAAAACTGTCACCCGCATTGAATATCGGTCAGTTTTGGCGAATTGAAGTACCTGATGATGGCCTGTTGGGGACGAAACATGTTGTAAAAAGTGAAAATTCTAAGGAATAAAGTGGTTGTATTGTTGAGGGAACTATAATATAAATATTCTCTGTGAATATTATAGAAATGCAGCAGGATACTTAAAAACAATATGCCCATAGATTAAGCTTCAATATTATATTGTTATGAAAAATGTGGCCAATGAAACAGGTTCATTCCATTAATCCTACATTCATCGTCAGAAGTGGTAGTCTTATATTGCAGACTGGCCTACGCATGCTGTAAAAGCGTTGTAATCACTTTGCATACTCCACTACTGCATACATTCATATCTATATGTATTGTTGAATATAATATAAAAGTATTATACTCTTCAGTCAGAAAGCACTTCTTTCATTTCGTTAAATATCCGTCACATAAAATGTCTACTTACCGGTTGCAAATTTTAAGAAATATTGATTTTATTTCATGTAAGTTTTATGTGATAAAGAGCTTTCTGCAAAAGTAACAAAGAAATCTGTTTGATTTTCAGGCAAATTTTTATTATATTGAACAGATATTGAATAAAAATTAAGTTTACTAGACAACGTTCAGTGTAAACCCCCAATATCAAATTTCATCCATATCCATTCATGATTTTCATAGAAGAAATACGTGGATGAAATGAAAGCTGCGTTCCACTGCGTTTATTTCATTCACTCTGCAGACAGAACGGGTAAAGATCTCTTTTCAATACCATCAGTAAAATCTGAATTCGCAAACTACAAAGAAAAAACACACGTCCTCAAAACTGCTAACATTTGTCACTATTCAGACTCTTTAGAGCACGAGTGTTTTTCTAGACAAGAGAATGTTTAGGCTGCAGCAACTTTGAAAACCTTTTATATACAAAGATACAGAAGCGTCATTTGGAGCTACCTATGGGCTCCAGTGAGGGAGAAGTGGGCTACATAACCTTGTCACTCCAGACAAATGCTCTACTAACCTGCTGTTCATTTCGGTGACGCAGAAACAGCGAGATTTACGGTAGTAGCATTATCCTGAAAGTCAGTTGGACGTTGCTATATGACAGAAAGTTCAACATGTCATATGCACGCTCAGCACACAGCTGATTGGTGTTGCCGTTAGTATAAATTGCGAGTCTCGTAGAAATAAATTAAAATGAACTGAAAACGTACCTTCATGCTATACTGAAATTATCTCTGTATGAAATAACACAGATGACAACTTCAATTAAGTTATCTCAGATATAAGATTTTCTAAAATAAATTCTCTATTTCCATGATAGTATGATAGTTACTATGTCTGAGTAATATCCGTTTTAGATAATCGTGCCTATAACAGGTAAGTCAAAAATAATTTATACTTAACAAGATAAAATTAAGTCACTTTTTTCAAGTGGTCCTAATTTTCTGATTGTGAACATGTTAAAAGCGTGCCATTGTAATTAAAAAATATCTGTAAATTTTGACAATAAACAAGCCCAAAATAAATAATATTTCATACAAATACAAATATATTTAAGTGAATTTAATTACCTAAGAAAGAAAGGCGAAGAGCAATGTGGAGATAATTACATAAAGAAAATATTCTAATGTCTACTGTGATTATATCGAAGATGATAAAAACAATAGATCGCCTAGTACTTAAAGGAAAATTTTAATGCATACAATACGAGTATTCAGTTTAGAACATTCAAGTGAAGATAACACATAGGATACGCAAACGAATACGGGAATATGACGCGAACATTTTCTTTACAGACTCAGTGACTGGGACTTTCTTCGCCTGACTTAGGATATAGTCTATTGCAGGATTTTGAACACAAGGCAAACAACGTTCAGGTTACATAACTGGAGGAAAGTTTTTACGAACTATGTAGCAATCAAGGAAGATCGTAAACGGTGAAGTCAGAGAGTCCGTTATTTACTTGTGGTAATCGACAAGTAATGAGGCCAAAACATATTTATTTTGAAATGCTGCCAAGAATTGTTTAAAGATGGTATGAATCGCCGGCTATCCCTCAGACTTCTGACTGGTGCAAAAAATGGCCGCTCGTCTGGAAAGAGCAACATCGATGAAGTTCATGTTACCTTAGAGTTGAACATCAGCAAATTGGGGTTTATATTTTCAGGAAGAAATGCTAAGTGTTTGTGCAAGTTATTTATTTAAGCTCTGCAACTTTTCATGAATATCGAGGTAACAGTTCATGAAACTTCTCTATCCTTGGGGGTATCTTAAAAATTAAATCTTAAAAATTGATCCAATGACTCATTATACTTTAGTTCTTCTGGCTAAACTGTTACTTGGCTGATCTTGTTACAGGCTTAATTTCGTCTTCGTTGTATTGGATATATAAGCAATATTGGGAAATTGTTGTGTCTGCTTGAGCAGAATAGTGAAAACAAAGTGCACGAAAAATTAAGAGACACTTTCTTCGGTACACATTCCAGTATGGGTGTAATCTTCTCTCCCTTAAAGCAGTCGTATGTACAATGAAGGATTCAGTAGTATAGAATTAATATAAAGTAAACATAAATTTAATTTAATAAAGAAAATATAAAAAATAGAATATCAACGGAGGGCCGTGCCTTAGTTCAAGGGATTAGTCGCTGGCTTCCCACCGCCGGGGTTCGATCCCGAGTTTGGTCAAGTGGAATTTGTGGGGGACAAAGTGGCGCTGTGGCAGGTTTTCTTCGAGTACTTCGATTTTCCCTGGCAATCTTCATTACACCAAATTCTCCATCATCATAATCACCCGGGGCAGGTACAATAGGCCAATCACTGGCCGGGTTGCCGAGTGGACCCAGCTGGACTCCGCCCCCCACTATGAGAATTAAAAAAATAATATATCAACGAAACGCTTGTGATATCTGTTTCTGGAACACATGAATTAGTCTTTAAATTATAATACACATAAATTTCCGATAGATACATTTGAGAATCAACGCGAAATAAGCAGCTATATAATAGCCGTTGCTAAGTAATGGTTTTGTAAACAACGGTCGTTCCAAGGGAATGGCCGCAACAGACACACGAAACACTAGAAGAACAGTTGGAAGAAGTGTTCTTTTTGCTGTCCGTGTCGAGGCCATATAACGAGTGCCAGCTTCCATTAGAAGAGAGTCTTGAGACGACAGTGAGAAGACTAGAAGGTTGGTGTGAGATGGCCGCCAGCCTGGGAGTTAGACAGTTGGAGAGAAGTGAATTAGTTTGTGAGTGAGTGAGTGAGTTACAGGACTGTTGCGGTTCAGTCTTTGTGAACTGCTGCTATGAGAACATGGTACCTGAGGCACGGGGCAGTACGAGAACCCAGTGGAAGGGGAACGTCCGTCCGTGGAAGCCGTTACTAGAAAACTGGTGAAGACACCGCAGGCTGAGAAGACTTAAGTGTGTGCTGTATTGAATTGCAGAGTGTGAATTAGCAATAGCGCTACAGTTACGTGTAGTTACGAGTTGTGTGTTCAAGAGTTCAATAAATCCAATTACCAATCCAAACACCGTCTATAGTCATTCATACTGACTTACTCATGGTGCTGAGCCCTTCTGGAGGAGCCGCCAATTCTGTAGCTACACAAGAATTTCCCAGCATTTTATGGAACCCGAAGGTTCATTACCGTGTTCACAAGAGCCCTCTACTGGTCCCTATCCTGAGCCCGATCAATCCAATCAATACCATCCCATCTTATCTCTCTAAGATCCATTTTAATATTGTTCACCCACCTACGCCTTGGTCTTCCCAGTGATCTCTTTCCTTCTGGCTTTCATACGCATGAAAATATTCATATTCCGGAAAGAGAAAAAAAATATTCCTGCTGTACTTGGTTGCGATTCATATACTAGTTTTCTTTAAAGGTGGTACATTCTAGACAAATATTTGCAATAATGAAAGCAGGCTCATGCAGCACGCTTGCTTTTAGCTTAGAAAATCGGCCTGCTACTCCATACTGTAGAAAATATTCTCTGGAAGAAACACTTTCCAGCGACGAACACTTATGTGCAGAGTATATATGTTGTAGGATTCTGAATAGGAATTTATTTTAACTAATGTGCTCATGATATAAATATACAGGCCTATACCTTCTTTTTATTAATGCACTTTTTGAAACTACATAACTGATAATATTTTAAAATTGAATGTGCACTATAATAGACTAAAATGAGGCTAAAAGATGAAGACTACTTACAAGCGACGTGCATGTGACTGACGACTACTTCGGTGTGGAAGGTGGGAGCATCTGCAGACACCTCGCAGCGGTACTTGCCCGCAAGTTCCAGCTGTACGTCAAGCAGGACCACTTGATTCGCCCCAGACTTGCTCACCTGCAACATCCCACACAGTTGCTTCAGACATGTTCCTAAGGCAAGAAGCCCACTTTACTTATATTTAATCTGTTTCTGACTTATAACTTTATGGATTAATTTTCGAAGCGTATAAAATGGGAAGATAACCACGAATATTGAGTGGGTAAGTAAGATTTGAGGTTTTCAAGGCGGTGACTATGAAGGAAGCAGTCTTCTGGGATGTGACGCCGTGTAGATATTGTGTTAACTGACGTTTAGGAGGAACGTATCGCCTCCATCTTCAGGGTAGAGGAAAAAAGAAGAAGAAAATCCTAGAGCGAGGAATCAGCGTGAGCAGAAATCAGTTAACACAATACCTGCACGACGTCACATTCCAGAAGACTGCTTTCCTCACTGAGTCGGTAAGACTGCGAAAGCTAATAGCCTGACTTTCTTGAATGAACTACCCCAAAATAAACTACAGACACGATTATTCGTAAAATATGCGGGATTCCGTTCCGACTAAACAGAGAACCAACTCTAAAACAGAGAGCTAAAATTCCTTCTCTTTTTAGTACGTAAGCGAACTCTACCGACCGAGCAACCGCAGTTCGTCGAAGAAGTTGGATGACTTATAAAATGCGCTGATTTTGTAGTTCTTTCACCAGTGACTATGAAGATTTATCTTCCAGGATATAAAGCGTTGTTGATTTTTGCACGACTAATATAGAACACTGTCTTATAAAGCATACAATTATACATAGAATTATTCATTCTTCAACAAATCGCGCTAAAACTCGTCGTTTACGACCTTGAAGTCGTGAGATGTCTCCACATTAAACTTCATACCACAGACCTATGGTTCATCGAGAACAACTGTAGTGGGTTTCATAATTTTTGAATGTACAGAAATTGAACTTAACAAATGCTGGATATACTCCAGCAATCTGCAACCACACTGAATAAAGCAATGGTTAATAGCTGCTGTAGTTGAATTAAATGTCAGGGTGTCCGAAGAGAAATATAAATTTTACTTCCTCAGGTCCCTGTGATATGTAATCTGATTCGCTACTTGTTATTATCTGCATATCTGTAATAACAGGTGATTCACTATAACACGAATTACTTATTTACTTACTTACTTACGGAGTTGACCCCTTCTGGAGGAGCCGCCAATTCTGCAGCTACTCAAGAATTTCCCAGAATTTTATGGGACCCGAAGGTTCATTACCGTGTTCACAAGAGCCCTCCACTGGTCCCTATCCTGAGCCAGATCAATCCAATCCACACCATCCCATCCTACCTCTCTAAGATCAATTTTAATATTGTCTACCTACCTGCACCTTGGTCTTCCCAGTGATCTCTTTCTCTCTGGCTTTCCCACCAATATCCTATATTCATTCCTCGTCTCCCCCATACGTGCTACATGCCCTGCCCACCACATCCTCCTTGACTTGATCATTCTAATTATAGTTGGAGGAGAGTACAAGTTATGAAGCTCCTCATAATGTAGTTTTCTATAAAACTATATGTTTCAAATTTTTCCAGAAGCAAAAGGTCTCACAAATGATAAAATTTCATCTGATGACAAGAAAGAATTACCAATGCCATTTGAAAGCGAAATACTATGGCAACCTCAACTGCATATTATGGGAACACAGTATCACTGCAACATACCTTCAACGTATCCAGTATTGCACTCAACACTGACAGTGATCTGGAATGCAGTGTTTGTCAGTCAAATAGTATTCGGCTGGAACATATTACAGTTCAACTGCAGACGAAATGTTTCTGCATCATGTTTCTCTAGTACCGTACAGGCACTAGTTCATGTCCCTTGTTTTAACCTCTCAGCTTACATGTGGCTAATTCATTGGGTGTTTCTATCTTCCACAAATCTATATATTTTGCTTCCAGGAAGAGCGAATATTCATAGTCAAAAGAAAATTGAAAATGGCGATTTGCAACGTACAGTGAAAGTGAAATATAGCAAGTAATTAATGACTGACGAGCTACCTTCAGTACACTCATACTAAAGCACTAACAAACGAGATGAAATGCATGGAGGGTTCCCACGATTTCAGCAGCCATCTGCTTACGCTGGTTCCTCGCTTTCGGATTTTTCTACCATGAAGATGGAGGCGGAATTTTCCTCCGAAACGTTAGTTTACACAAGATCTACCCGGCCCCAAATCCCAGAAGACAGCATTCTTCACAAAAAGAGGAAATTATGAAGGATGCAGAATTATACATAAGCAATATTAAGAGTTAAATATTATTATTACCACCAAATAAGACAGCGTCTGTACTGAGAGTATTGGCAGTATTATTAACAGAACTATTCCCTGCGATATAACAACTTTTTACCCCAGCGTAATTCACATGGAGTATCCAGTTACTAGCCTGTATCTACAGCCTACAAGCCTATAACACAGAAGAATAGCTACGGTTAATCATAATACCAATCATACAAACAACAGACTATCTCAGAATGTCATGGTTTCAACCTTCTGAAATATTTAAGCGAGTTCGATTCTTAGTTGATTTCGCCTGCCATGCTTGATCGCAGTCTGTCTGTGAGTTACAAAATCTCCCCCGGGTAGGCGAGAACACATCCCTTCCCTGCATACTGCTTAACTGAAGTACGTACATAATACATGATCTCAATTGAAACTGACGCTTGAGCACAATTTGACAGGACGCATCCCTACAGATAATGTAATTCGTGACATAAAACAAAAAGACAGGATGTCTACAATGAAACGCCCTGATTTTGAAAATGTTTAAAAAATAGGCAAATGGCTTTATTCAGGTATTAAGGGTCTGCTGCGTACTACAGGATTTAAAATGCCCGCCTAAATGTTTAGGCTACCTCATGTGCCACCGTTGGGGCGCTGTTGTTCTTTCCCACAAAGATGGCGTCAGCTCAGGGCAAGGTGCGAGTTGTGTGATTTCAGAGATTAGGTCCATTGTCAGAGTGCAAAGAGAGTTTTGTCGTATTTATCAGACAGCAGCGCCAGACGCAAAGAGAATCAAAGCATGGCAAAATAATTTCCTGGAGACTGGGGCATCTTGTCAGGGCGCTGAAGAGGCCAACAACGTGTCTCACTTGAGAATGTCCTTGTGGTGTTCATCCGAAGTGCAAGGAAGCCAATTGGTCGAACTTCCATGAGGCAACTCTTCATGTCTCTGGTTCTGTAAATAGGCATAACGTTCGGATATGGGAATCACAGCAATCGCACGTCATGGAATATGTGCGAGGCTGTCCGAAAGTGAACGTCTGTTGAGGCGCCATGTGCAACGTGATATTGGACCGTTTTCCTTTGCGGAGAAGACTGTCACAGATAGCTCATACCTGGACATGCTACAGCTCTACGTCTCTCCTCAGCTGGAACACCTGCAGCCACAAGACGAAGCTCTGCCCCACTGGTCGCTAGACGTGTGGAGAGCTCTTAATACAATTTCAGGTCGTTGCATAGGACGAGATTGTCCACCGGATTGGCCTCCACTTTCCCCTGACATCACTCCATTATATTTCTTTGTGTGGGGCTAGATGAAGGACAGAATTTACGCCACTAATGTGAGAGATCTTGGAGACCTCTGGGCCCGGATTGTGGAAGCTGTTGGTACCATCACTCCGGACATGTTGCAGCGGAACTGGGCGGAACTCGATTGCAGAAATGTCCTACGTGTCACCAACAGTGCTCAAGTGCAAGTGCATTGATTTTTAAATTAAACGTTGTGCTTTCTGTGACTGGTATTTGTCATTAATTAGGCCATGTCTCTATTCCTACAATGTTTCCTATTGCCTTACATGCAACAGTAGAAGAATTGTGTGACATGATTCATGTAGGAATACATTCTTATAAAAAGAGGGTTTTCAAATCAAAACAGATGAGTAGTCGTATGTGGGAATCAGCAAGAAAGAAACATAAATTGAAATTGACAGAATGGTAATTATTAATGAAATTGATTGCAATTTTGAAACTAGCTTCTCAAAGCAAAATTTAATTCAGCGCTCCTGACAATTATTTATTGGCAGAAATTAATATTAAATATTGATATAATTTTAGAAAATGTACAGATATATTTAACGGTCATCGTCATAAAACAAACGCCACAGAGATTTATAAAATAATAATAATAAGATAACAATAATATTCTGGTATTGCTACTACCGAAAAACCACATTCATTTTCGCCCAATATTTTCCTCTCCGAGCGAAAATTATCCCTTTTCACCATTTACTTTCACATAACCCAAGAATCTGGGATTGAATTACAGTGCACATGCACTGGCAGAATTTCTGTAAACAACTGGCGGCTATCAAACGAAATTATTTCTTGCTATCAATTATTAATCTCTAGTACGTGTGCACTACTCTTGATGAGATACAATGACGTTGCAACGGGTAAAAGTTCACAGATGTTATGGAACAACATATTGATCCCATCTTCAGGTTTAAAGAGTAAGCTAATCAATTAGTCAGAAATTTGGCTGCTTGCTTGGCCTTCTCTTTATGAGAGTTATATGGGAGAATGTGCAATGCACGCAAAGACTTTTTTATTTAATAAGCATACCAAGAGTTTTGTGATGATCCAAATAAGTGTTTTCTTTATATAAGTTTACCTGCGATAAGTTCATTCATATTTGCACTGATCTCGTCAGCACCTGGTCCCATCGCTTGAAATCCGGGAGAGAATGAATTTCCGGAGTTCCCAGGGGAACACGAAGCAGCTGTTCAACGTGTCTTATTTTCATATACATGCGTTCTAACTTTCATAAAGGTAAGTATGAATGAGGATAATTTTGTCGCAAAAATATAATAATAAAAAACGGCACATCACTCTCTTCTTGGTATTTAAATAAAGCAACTGATATGGCAGGTAACAATGAATTCAATGGCTTGGAACAAAACAAAGTTTGTAGTGAGAAGTTCGGTTCGTATGTAAGTAACATTAAGCAGGCCTACTCGGTAACGTAATTTTGTAATTTTGCCCTTATAATATTGCATTTTCGACTTCTCATATGCCTATCGTCTATTTATTTATTTATTCTCTGCAGGCTCTTATTGCCAGATATAATGAATGGATTTCAACACACAATTTTCTGAAAGATCCTAAATAATTACTTCAAACATATTTCATATTGCAAGAAATATTAAGCCTACGGGTGTTAGAGTGCAAAACACAGAAATTGTAACTGCAATTGCAAAAGGAATGAACATTCGAATATCAGCGTTATGTCTTACATATAACATCTAAGTCTACCATCGAAATGATATATTGTTTCATTATACATTCAAGAAGTAAAATTTATAAATATAAATATAAATATAAATATAATTTCTATATAATTATAATTTCCAAAATGTGTGAATCATACCCGTAACATTGATTGACATCAACACATCCGCTTATGATACAAATACGAGTAATTTCCAAGTGCAGCACTCAAATAAAATATTATAAAGTTGAAGCCTCTAATTTATAATGCTTCTGAGGGCAGTCTTGGACGAATGGGGTTGCAAGGGGGCAACATGTGGCCCATATCCCACCTGCTACATGATTATGAAAATGATGAAATATATATTCCAAAGGTATGTTTCAAAACTGAACAATTTCAGCTAATGATTAATCATGTATAAATAACTGAAATTAATAATCTCACCTCGACCATAAAGAATATTCTGTAACATTAAGGAGCAAATTAAGGGGTGCTCTGAATTAATATATAATTCCACAAACGTTCATTTTTTTGCTGTTTATATAAAAACATATTTCATTCCTAAAAATAACTTACATTCCCTTCCGTTGTACCAGTATTCATTATAAAAGAGAGCGGAGTTATGAAATGAATGGACGTTGCTTATGCTGGTTCACGTGGCTGGGAAATATGACATGTTGCATAGTCGCCATTCCTGTTGTGAAACAGGTGGTGAAACAGGCCTCACCATCGATTTCCAAACAGCGTATGTAAGTTCACATACACTACAAGCTTAATTACGTTTATCTGACGCATACACACAGTCGTATCAAATGTGCAGGCCCTCTATAATACAATAATGACCCACGATTCCATTTTCTAACAACCTTGTCAGTTGAAAAGGAGTTTATCTGCCAATTATATGTGGTTTCATATCATACTGCAACCGTCAGTAATAGGCAGTACTCGAAAAAACTGAAATCTACACATCCCATGGCAAGAAATTATACACAATTATGTTACCAGATTTTTGAGTGCTGTAAAATCAATACAACTAGACAGATAAGACCTAAATAATTTAATGAGAGTGCATCATATGTTTGTACTTACATCTACGTTGACACCCGGTAGGGGGAATACCCGGGTATGAGGCAACTCCTTAGGGACGTAGCGAAAAAATTCTTGCCTTCCCTTGTACCATTTGACAGTGTAGAGTGGATCGCCTTCCAGATCGTAAGAGCAGTGCAGTGTCACCGTGTCACCGGGACTCACCGCTACGGGCACGGTCATATTCACGTCGCGCAAACCACCCACACCTGCCGAGAGAAAATTGTACATCAGGGGAGAATCAAAGGATCGCTAGTTAAATCTGAGTTAAAATTCGCCATCATGTCTTTGATATCACAAGAACCTGTCGTGGCTTCTCCATTGCCAACCTGCTGCATATGGTCATGGCACTCTTCAGTAAATTCTACTGTTCAGTATAATTTTAGAAATTTCACTGTTTCACATATCGTCAACGAATTTCCTTATCTTGTGGACCCTGAAGTTCGTCACCGTGATCCCCCTCCTCCACAAATTATGTTGAACGAAGTCCCCAATTTTAAAATTCATTCCTATAAGAGTCGTGACAGTGTGATTGCATGTGAGGATACTGGAAGTACAAACGCCCTACTACAGCGGCAACTTCTCCGACATCATCGCAGCGCAGGTAGTCTATGTAAACTCTTGCAGGTGAAAAATATACGATGTCTGCCTATGGAAGTCACACTAAGTAGTCTGAAATTTGACACTAAATGTTTAGAACAGAGGCTTATATTTCAGTGTCTTTGTTTGGTTTTAGCCATAATTTTCTTCCATACGTTTCGCATACATCCTGGGCTAGTTATGAATCCCTGAGTTTTTAATAATCTTCCTCTTCACAGGAACAGGGATATCGTAGTCAGTATTCCGACTGGCTACAGGCTGGACGATAGAGAGATCAGAGTTCGAATTCCGGTAGGGTCAAGGATTCTCTCTTCTCCATGTCGTTCAGACCGGCTCTGGGGTCCACCCAACCTCCTATCCAGTGGGTACCGAGGGTAAATTGGCAGGGGCGTGAAGCTGACCACTCACTCACAGTGCCGAGGACAAGAAAATGTGGATCGATAATTTCACTTTCCCATACACCTAATTAGTTAAACAGAGGGACAACTTTAACTTTATCTTTTTCCGCTTCTTTATGAATATAAAAAGTTCCTTTAAAGCTCAAGGTGCTCTTGGTCTGTTTAACATTTTACAACTTAAAGCACAAAATTTTGCATTTATGTACCGTACCGCAACAATCCGATTGACACGGTAGTCTGTTTCTGGAAAATGCAGGGTAATGAGGACACTCATAAAGTGTTTTCCCATATACCAAATGTTACACTCAGTTGTTGTGTTATTGACCGAGTTGCTATTATTCCATGTCATGTTTGAGAACCGTGATAATTCTTGGTTACGTAATAACCACTTCTATGAAACAGAATGCTTACAAATTTTAAACGCGTTTTTAAATGAAATGTATGCGCCAATAATCTCAAAGGGTAAGACAAGATGGCCGAATATCTCCATGAATATGTTCCGCAAGGAGCAGAAGCAGACGCGAACATATCAGGATTCGGCACGTAATTAAGTGTTGTTCTTCAAGATTAAATTCGTTTATTCATAAAAAAAACATCAAACTACATATGAGCTAAATTATAGAATAATTGTTAACACCGTCCAGTGTAATTAAATTTGTAAATATTTATTTCCTTTATATGTTTCGGTTAGCTGACCATCTTCAGAAGGCATAAGATCAACAAGTTCAGGAACTACTATTACAATTTTCGTCATACATATTTAGAGGTTTCTATACAAGAAGTTATTTACAGTTCTTTGTATTAAAATCTTATTGATGTCTAATATTTAAGACCTTGAATCACTACGGCTTGTGTCCTTGTGCCTCTTCTGTTAAAACGGAAAGTTGGGGTATTATCTGGAGTCCTCAGAAGTACCCGCAGCATTGCCCCTTTTTTTAGGTTGTTAGGATGCTGCAATTTTATTATGGATATTATACAATTTACTCTCATTATATTTCTGTAATCGCGAACTTATTTGAAATTTATCTTATGCGTTCCTACCTGTATAGTTATTATGTCTAGTTGTTTCCTCTTTGTTGTGTTTTAAGACACTGTTTGTCGTGTGCTGTGTAGGGTATTTATACCCTTGTTCCCTGTGACGCTCCTCTGGGCGTGTACGCATGTATTATAAAAATGTCAAACATAATGTTCTGGTTATCGTTTTTTCTATGCTCTTTTGTTCTTCTATTAATCCATTACGATGTTTAAATTTGATAAATATAGAAATTTGCCTTCATATTCATGATATTGCCTTTTCTAGCATATTCGATCATTTCCACGATATGTTCCATAGGCCCGTACTGGCGATCTTTGTAAAATATGTGCAAGGCAGAAGCTGATTCTTCTTTATTAAACCTTACGTTTCTTATATGTTCTTTGTTTCATGTTATCAGGTTTCGGTTCGTCTGCCCAATGTATATTTTATGACAACTCTGGCAGGTCATTTTCACATATCGCTTTGTTCATATGAATTCGTTGTGTCCGTATCACCTAATAGTTTCCTTACGTGCTACGTTTAAGTTAGCACCATTGAAAACTTTGTAATTTTACGTATATACGTGTAGTTTCGCGTATACGTGAATATAACCCATTTTTATTTCGTTTTGGTGTTACTTGCCTGATTATTTTGTAGATGTTTCAGTCGATTACACAAGTTCAAAATGTCATCGTTTTTATTCCATACGTTTGTTCTACGTTTATTATAGTGCTCAGTTTCTCCTCTTATTATTTTCGTTGAAGGTTAGCGTAAAGAGTCTATGTATCCAGTTTCTGAATGCCGCTAATTGTGTTCTTGAGGATGGCATGAGACATTACTTATCGTAACGTCCGTCGCTGTAGGTTTCCTGTAAACTTCCATTTCTTTTGTCCCCATTTATTAGTTAAGTTCAAGTCTAGGTAAGCAATTTGGTTATCCGTTTCTTCATTTATTGTGAATTGTAGATCTCTATGTTGTGCATTAAGTTTTTCAAGTATGGTTTGGGGTGTTATTTTTGATTGTGTGTTATGAATATACCACCTACATATCTACTATATTGTAACACACGAATTATTTTCCCTTCCAGCAGATGCTTTAGTCTGTTTTGTTGAAGATCCTGCAGGAAATTTTAAGCTATATTACTGGATAGGGGTGATCCCATTGCTACGCTCGATGTTGGCTTGTAAGATTTACTTTCGCACTGGAAGTAACTTTGACTCATGATCGTCCTTAAGATTAACGCGATATCTCTTGTGTTGTGTCCGTTGACGCGATTATTTTAAGCCTATTTATTTTTAATGTTAAGAGTGTAGTTGATCGGTATTTTGAAAATAATTCTTTAATATCTATCGTTAATAGTTTATGTTCAGAATTTAGTTTATTTACTTATATTTTCGGCGAATATTGTTGTATTAGTTATGTTATATCCATTTTTCAAATTTGTAAGATCTTTAAATGTTTTATGTGTATGTTTATCTATCTTATATGTAGGTGTGTAGCTGCTGCTTGTAATTGGTCTAATATGGGCCTATGGTTTATGTATTTTAATCTTTGCTTTTCACCTGGATGCCTGTGGGTTCATCTGGATTATATGTTTTATTTTTGTATATTGATATTTGAGTTGTTCTTTGCATTTTTTGGTGCGGCCTTTTTAGATCTGTAATGTGATTATCTTTAATGAAAGACATTAGTTTTTATCTCGATCCTCTTTGTATATTATGATGGTAGACTCTCCTTTATCCGCTTCGACTACGGTCGCTTTATGTTGTAGTTTTTTATTTAATCTGTTTATATTCCCTATTTATGGTGTTTTTGTTTTTGTTTGTGTACTTTTTTGGCGCAATTCCCTTATTATATTTGCTTGCCTTATTTAATAATGTCTCTCCAGTTATTAAAGAGTTGTATGTTAGCCATAGTGTGTAGTCGTGAATAAAATGTATTTTATTTATCGTGTTTTCTTTAGCCTTCGATTTTTTAAATACATTATTGATTTTATTGAGTTTACTGTAGTGTTTGCTTGCTTGCTCATTTAGTCTATAATTCACGTCATTTTCTATTATAAGCTAACTAGTCTGACAATTGCATATCTGATATACGGATTTGTATCACTGTCTGATTCACTGAATAATTAACGAAATTCTATCAATTATGAAGGATGTAAGAATATAAAGGAAGTTAGTTCAGTATCATCATTGGATATACGAGTAAAATGGAAAATCACTTACGGCAGAAAATGAAGGTGGCTATATTCAAAATTGTAGTATATTTTTCCTTTGACCTATTCAACAAAATAAGGACCGTATGCTATGCAGACGCAAGAGAGCCTGTAGCCTGTAGAATAAACATATTGTCACCCGGCTTGCAATAATACAGTACACCAGATGCTGATGTCTTACAATTGACAACAGGAGACGACACGATAAAGAACTGAGAAGTTCTATCATACTATCCAAGAATTTTCCCTTTTTGAAGCATGAGAAAACAACAAAGATAACTGACCGATACCGAATCCGGTTCTTTCAGAATGCAAATCACAAGATGCACACTGCAACTTGTAACCGCTCTGTCTGGCCCTTTGGTTGGGCACCACTCCTTCTTTCTTACCGTCTAGTGCGTTAAGGCCCTTTGCGTTGGGTGCCACTCCTTCTAACCGTCCTTCTCCGGCAGTCCTCTGAAGAGCCCTTTGGTTGCTGGTTGCATCTGCTCCTCTAGCTGTTCCCTCTCACCTGTTGTTACTTCTAGTTGGCAGGTTGCGGCTGCGTCCTTCCTTATCCAGTTCTGTTCCCTTTCTGTTGTTCTGGTGGATAATAGTTTTCGGGGTATGGGTTATTGGGGTGCTGGGCGCCAGTAAGCTTACTGTCGGCTTACATTTCTGGAAAAAGGGGGGGGGGGAACTGGAAACTACAGGTGCTAGGTACCGCGTTCTCACTGGAGCGATGAGATTCGGTCTCAGGGTGAATACGGGCCTCGCGTCAGCGGGAAAGAGAAGAGTGTTTTGGGTAGGCACTAACACACACACTGTTTAATTAGCCAATCTTGCTACACACGTACATTTAACAGCGCTTGTTGCACAAAACACATGGAAATCTCTCCAACGTGGGTGACGGGATCCCTGGCTAGTTAGTTAGCGGCTGTTATTTTTAGCACAAACCCTAGAATTGCACTGGCACTTATACTTTTGGCACCAAGAAAATTT